AGTCATAGATGTGGTCAGTAAATACAAAGGTAATTCAGAAAGTTCATTGAAAAACAGAATTAAAATATGTTTATTTTGGCTCAAAAAAATGAAATCCATGCATACTGCACTGGCCCTGGGTGAGGAAGCTCTTGGTGTGTTCCTGGGTAGCATGCAGTCCTGCAGTAGTGGTAAAGTCTCACGCGGGTTTGGCACGTGGCACTCACTGAAAGCGTCTGGTGTCCACAGCTCTATTTCTCCCAAAGCCTGTGAGGGAGGTGGGGTTAGCCCTACGTTCCAGATGAAGGACTTGAGCCTGCTCACCTGCCCACACCTGACACCCCTAAGGCAGGGGTGACTCTCTGTTGCACCATGGGAGACAGAGGGTGTGAGCCTCACAGCTGGAGGAGGATGCCTCCACACTGAGTGCCAACCAGGCAGCCAGTGTAAAGGATTCGTGACAGGATGGGGACCCTGGCCATCACCGCATTTCTACTTCCGACAGAGGGCAGGACTTCTGGGAAAAGGAACTGAGGTGGAAGATAGAGGAAGAAAGGAGGGACAGTGAGGAAATACATGCTGGCTTCATAGTATTACCAGGACTTGGCCCAATAATAAATGAACCTTTTAAGAGCTAGTCACTCCTCCTCCCTTTTGTGCCTGAGCAGTTTGGTCCTAAAGCCATTCAGTGAGGCAGGGCGAGGCAAGCGTCTGTGTGTACAGGGGCATCCTAGCTTGGAGAATCAGAGCCCAAGCACACTGAGGAGGACATCTAAACCTAGGGACACCTGGAGTGGGTGTCGGGCCCAAGATGGTAAGGAGCACATGCTGGGAGTTGAGGAGAGGAGGCTAATTGTGTTTTAAAAAAAAGATAATGCACATTTTCCATGAACTTTTTTCCCCAAAGAAACCTTTTATTTAAGGAGTACAAATTTCATAAATACAACTTTAGGAATATAGTGATTCTTCCCACCATACCTACCCTCCAAATCTCACTCCCACCCTACCTCCTCCTCCCTCTCCCATTCCCAGTCCCATTCTCCAGGCTAATTGTCTTAAGAATTCTAACTTAAAGGCAGCGCGGAGATCCAGGGTCAGGAAGAACTCTGTATAGAGACGGAGGGCTTATGCGTTGTTGGGCTTCATCAACAAAGTGAATGTATTGAGGAAAACAGAAGCTAAGTCTCTCTCTCTCACTTTTAGAAAAAGAAATTTCAAATATGGAAAGGAGGAAAACTGGAACACTGAGGTGATATACTGGAATTGGAGAGCTACACCTAAACTCGTGGTTTGCAATATATAGATGTGAGTATATGGATATGTGGATGTGCACAGATACATGTGTGTGTATGTGTACATGTATCTATTCCAAACGTCCTGGAAAAAGCAATACCCCAATAGCAATAAGCACACTGACTCCCAGATGTTGGTTTCTTTTTTTAAAATTATTTATTTATTTGAAAGTCAGTTACACAGGGAGAGGAGATGCAGGGTAGAGCGAGAGGGAGGTCTTCCATCCAATGGTTCACTCCCCAATGGGCTGCAATGGCTGGAGCTGTGCCGATCTGAAGCCAAGAGCCAGGAGCTTCCTCTGAGTCTCCCACGTGGGTGCAGGGGGCCCAAACACCTGGGCCATCTTCTACTGCTTTCCCAGGCCATAGCAGAGAGCTGGATCGGAAGTGGAGCAGCCGGGTCTTGAACTGGTGCCCATATGGGATGCTGGTGCTTCAGGCCAGGGCGTTAAGCCACTGTGCCGCAGTGCCGGCCTTTTTTTTTTTTTTTTTTTTTTTTGGTTTCTAAGTGCCATTCTTCCCCCCTTCCCCAAAAGGGAGCCAGGGCTCATTTGAGAAGTGATTGAGTCCAGGGCTGAGGGAAGGAAAGGATAAGATGAGCTTTAACTGTGGTGTCAGCAATAAGGGAATATCAAGGACTGATTGTAGACATGTAAGTTAAACACAGCAACCAGCTCAAAGAGGCTCCCTGCTAGCAAAAGTGGGGATAATTTTAGCATCGAAATAATGATGGTAATGGATTGTACCCCACTGAATAAAATGGGAAAGACTGGGTCAATACTGACACAATTAAGTGAACAAATCAATTGCAAGTTTGATGAAGAATGGAATATTTAAAATATGTGTCAGTCAAGTTGGAAAAGTGCATGTTTAAGCACATATGCCACCTTCATGAAGTGATCCAAATGAACACCACGAGGGATAAGACAAATCAAAGTCACGTGCCACGCAATAGGAAACAATGAAAACAGAGCATCATGTATGCAAAATTCTGGCCAACGATGCGTAACTGGAATCTGAAACGTGGGACAAACCCAGGCCTGGGGGTACTGTAGTTGCCCAGAGTGCCAAGGCCATGAAAGTCAGGAAAAAATGGAGGAACTATTCCAGATAAAAGGACATTAGAGACATGGTAACTAAATGCAACACGTGATTCTGAGCTACATCCTTGTGCTATATATAAACTGCATTGTTAGGAAAATTGGTAAATTGTAATGGGTCTCAGGATCAGGTGGCTGTACTGTAGCAGTGGTAACTTCCTGATTTTGAGTTTAATCATCCTCTTTCTTTCCCCATATGCAGCAGTGTCTAGTCTAAGATGAGGCCAGGTGCAAGACATTTTTTTTTTCCTTTCGTTGAGAGAAGAGCAGTGAGAGGCTGGCGAGGCCCCCTGGTGGCTGTGGTCCTGCTGTGAGCTCCCCTCAGTGGCCGGTACTGCTCAGCCATGGACTGTTCAGCTTTCTGCAATACCGGCCTTTGCCAGCAGGAGGCGACTCACCTCCCAAACCGGGAAGGCCTCAGAAGACAGAGGAAGGAAGAAGAAGGACAGAGGTTCAACCTTCCCTCCAAGTGGGGCCACAGGCCTCTGGGTGCATGAGCCCCAGGCTGCGGTGTCCCTTGGTGCCTCCCTCTCTGTGTGTGGACAGGTGAGGGCAGCCTAGGGCTGGCTTTCTCCCTTCCTCCTGCAGGGCCAAGGATTTAGTCAGTGCTGTTCAGGGTTTTCTGCAGATAGTCTTCTTCTTCCATCTACCAGGAGCTCATTTACATAGTTAAAGGGAGATTCTCATCTGTTTAATGTTTTCTACTTAAAGTTTGCATTATAGGCTCTGTTCTGTAAGATACACTGGCTCAGCAACCTGGATGTCAGGGCACTTTGTACTACAGCTTAGTTGGTCCTGAGAGCACAGGCTTGGATCCCACAGGCCCTGGGGACAGTCCCAGCAGAGCCTGGGGTTTAGGAACCGACCACTAAACCCTCCACTCTCAAAAGCCAGATCCTGGCCAGCTGCCCTCTGCCTGCACCCAGTCCCTTGAATGCCCAGAACCTGAATGCTGGGTCTAGAACTCCTGGTTGGGATCTGCAGTGCACCAGGCCTGCTGGGGTGGGGGAGACCAAGGTCAGGAGGGTCCATCGGAAAGGAGGCAGCAGAACCTCTCCATGCGGCTTGAGGGATGGGCAGCATGGGGAGGGGAGTGCTCCCCCACTACCTGCTCAATGAGCTGTACAGCTGTGGCCCCGTTCCTGCCCCCTGTGAACCTGTTTCCTCCCCTGCACAAGGGGTGTAATTACACGCCCAGCCTGCAGGGGGCGCTCCTGAGCGGAGGGGCACTGAAGCTATGGGTAAGCAGATTTGTGGAGGCTCAGAGTTAGTAGAGGACTGACTTGGGCCTACCTTCCTGGGAATGCTCAGGGCAGTCAGGCAGGGCGAAGCTCTGAGGCTGTGAAGGGAGCCATGGGCCTGGGGACCAGGATGGGCATCTCTGGCATGCTCTTTGGTGGCCAACAGTGTCACTGGCTCTTTTCTGTTTGTCTTCATCTCTATGGCAAGGACCAGTTCAGTGAGCGCATTGCCCCATTGGTTCCTGCAACCCACAGGCAGTCACAGAGCCATGAGTCATCACCACCAGGGCCCCAGGTTAACACTTGGGGGATTCGTTTCACAAGATGACTTGTATGAGGTGTCATGATTTAATATCACCACTGTGTACTTAGGTGTTCCCCTACTGGATGGCTATTGTTTGATTTACATTTTAGCATCATATACTAGCTCAGGTGAGCATTCTTACTCATACATGTAAACCTGGGAGAGATACAGGAATGCTCATGTAGTAACCCTGCTTGTAATAGCAAACAAAAAAACAGAATTAGAAATAGGTAGCCAGCGTTGTGGTGCAGCAGGTTAAGCTGCCATCTGCAGTGCCGGCATCCCATATGGGCGCCAGTTTGAGTCCCCAGCTACTTCACTTGCAATCCAGCTCCTTGCTAATGTTCCTGCAAAAAGCAGAGGAGGATGGCCCAAATGCTTGGGCCCCTGCACCCACATGAGAGACCCGGATGAAGCTCCCAGATGAAGCTCCTGGCTTCTGGCTTCAGCCTGGCCATTGTGGCCATTTAGGGAGTGAACCAGTAGATGGAAGACCTCTCTGTCTCTCCCCACCCCGTTCTCTGTAACTCTGCTTTTCAAATAAATAAATAAATGCAAAAATCTTAAGGAAAAAAACCTAGAAACAGCCCAGTTACACATCCATAATGAATGCATAGGTAAATTGTGTTATGTTGACACCATGGAATACTACATAGCCATGAGAATCAGTGATAATCAATGAACTAAGACACAGGGATAATGTTAAGGGAAAGAAGCCAGATACTAAAGAGGACTTGCTACCTGATTCTCTTATGTAGGGTTTAAAGCTAAATGAACCTAGTGTTTAGGTATACATATGGCTGTGTTAAAATAGTTTTGCAGAAAACAAGGATTCTCATTTGTCTGATAGGCATATTTTTATCTTAAGTTATTAATAGAGGGAAATGAGGAGATGTTTTTTATTTTTTTGGAGATGTTTATTTAAGGGTACAATGTTTGGTTATAAGACGTGTAACTTGGGGCCGGCGCTGTGGCACAGCGGGTTAAAGCCCTGGCCTGAAGCACCGGCATCCTCTATGGGTGCCGGTTCAAGACCCGGCTGCTCCACTTCCGATCCAGCTCTCTGCTATGGCCTGGGAAAGCAGTAGAAGATGGCCCAGGTGCTTGGGCCCCTGCACCCACGTGGGAGACCTGGAAGAAGTTCCTGGTTCCTGGCTTCGGATCGGCGCAGCTCTGGCCATTGCGGCCAATTGGGGAGTGAACCAGCGGATGGAAGATCTCTCTCTCTCTCTGCCTGTGCCTCTCTCTGTGTAACTGGCTTTCAAATAAATGAATATATATTTTTTTAAAAAAGACATGTAACTTATAGGTATCTAATGTATAGCATGGTGACAGTAGTTAATACTGTATTGTTTACTTGGAATTTGCTAATAGAGTGGATTTTAAGTGTCCTTACCACCCACCCACCCCACCACACACAAATGGTAACTATGGATGTGTTTATTTATTTGACTGTGGTAATCACCACATAATGTGTGTGTGTGTAGCATCAACTTGTTGTACACCTTGAATGTATACAAGTTTTATTTTTCAATTAAATGATTTTTTTAAAAAAATCACAAAAGAGGCTGGCGCCGCGGCTCACTAGGCTAATCCTCCGCCTGCGGCGCCAGCACCCTGGGTTCTAGTCCCGGTTGGGGCGCCGGATTCTGTCCCGGTTGCCCCTCTTCCTGTCCAGCTCTCTGCTGTGGCCAGGCAGTGCAGTGGAGGATGGCCCAAGTGCTTGGGCCCTGCACCCCATGGGAGACCAGGAGAAGCACCTGGCTCCTGCCATTGGATCAGCGTGGTGCGCCAGCCGCAGTGCGCCGGCCGTGGCAGCCATTGGAGGGTGAACCAACGGCAAAGGAAGACCTTTCTGTCTGTCTCTCTCTTACTGTCCACTCTGCCTGTCAAAAAAAATTAAAAATTTTTAAAAATCGCAAAAGATCATACAGTAAAGTTGACATTCGGAGTATTCAGTTCTATAAGTTGGAATACATGTATAGATTCCTATAACCACCAGCACAATCAGAAAACACAAATATATTCCCTACCTCAAAGAACTCCCTTTAGCTACTACCCCCATCCTTAAGCCCTAGTGATCTATTTTTTCATCACTCTACTTTTGTCATATCACTGTACTTTTGTCATTTTAGGAGTGCTATATACATGGAATATAGCATGTAATCTTTTAAGACTGGCTCCTTCACTCAGCATAATGTGTATGAGTTTCATGCATGTTCTATGCATCATTATAGTTCATTCTTTTATTGCTGGGTAATATTCATTTTGTGTATGTACCACAGTTTGTTTAGCCATTGCCCATTTAAGGACATTTGGGTTGTTACTTGTTGTTAGTGATATGAGTAGTGCTGCCATAAATATTTGT